TATATGCATTAGGTACAACAATTGTATATTAATTATACAGAAAAAAAATTATAATAACGACAAATATTTTTTTTTTATATATATGCAGGGAAATGAGAAATTCTCTAATAGTTGTGCAATACAATGGAGAATGGAAGAATGATGTAACATATGCAAGATTCGAGGTCTGTGGAATTTTTCGTACGGAATCTGAAACTTTTATGGATGTATGTAGTAAAATTGAAGAGAAACTGGAGATCAACACCTCAAACACATCAATGATAGTGAAATATCAATTGAAAGATGGCTACCCTCCAATCACAATAAACGACGAAAACAGTCTGGAGTTTTACAAAGAACTCAAGAAAAATGAGGAAGATTGCACAAGGTGGCCACTTTGCATTTTACTGAAACCCAATAACAACATGTTGGCACTAACAAGCAGCACCACCAGTGCAACTTTGGCTGGGAATGAAACATTCCAGGTAGAACCTCTACAAATGATGACAGACAACTTGCTTAAAAATGAAAGAAGAGGCGAATATCGGCTTGTAGAGTATGCTCGAAACTGTTCAGCTACACTTGCAGAAATTGGATATGAAAAAATGGACTTGATAGATGGAAAACAGTTGAAGAACGAAGTGAATGACCTATCTTCAAGTCTTGATGGAAAAATCATTCCAGAACAAACATTCAAAGACAAGAAAGAGTTGAAAAGGTTTCTTAGTTTGTACGCCATCAAGCACCACTTTCAGTTTAAGGTTGTGAAATCATGCAGTAGATTGTTCTACATAAATTGCATCGACAAAGCATGTCCGTGGTCCTTAAAGGCTTCAAGAATCAACAATGCACCCACATTCAAAATTCGAAAAGTATCAGAAGATCATATATGCAGTTTCGGATGCAGAATGAATGAAAAACGACAAGCAACTTCAGATATAGTGGGTTACTGCATTCAGGAGAAATTTGAAAACTTCAAAACCCAATACACGGTAGCAGACATCATAAGAGACATGAAGAAGATGTGCGGTGTTACATTATCCAAAAAGGCTTGGCGAGCACGTCAAAAGGCGTTGGAGAGGGTACACGGCCATCCATATACATCCTACCAAATGCTCCCAGGATATCTTGAAAAATTGGGTGAATCAAATCCAGGATCAATGATAACACTAAGAACAAACTCATCAAAGAAATTTGAATACGTCTTCATATCATTGCATGCTTCCATAAATGGTTGGAATCACTGTCGCCCAATTATAATTGTGGATGGAACCTTCTTAAAAGCAACTCATGGGGGAACACTCATAACAGCAAGCACACAAGACGCCGCAGGAAACATTCTTCCTCTTGCCTTTGGTGTAGTTGATTCTGAAAACAACAATGCATATGAATGGTTTTTCTCAAAGTTAAAATCAGCTTTACCAGAGGGAAAAGGCATGTGCATAATTTCAGATCAACATCCAAACATCAAGAATGCAATTTCAAAGGTAAACACATTACTGTAGTAGTTTATATGGCACATCATCTGCAATCGAATAAATAGACCATTTATAAATAAAGATGAATATGATCTTATGGTGATTAATTGCGGTAACTATGAAAAGAATGCTAGATATATTAGTCCCTTTGATGGGTAACAGAGTGATTTGCATATGGTGCCTATACTTGATGCTTTTATGGTGCATTATCTCTCTTGAATTTTATATCTTTTAAAGGTGGAGGTAGGACATTTTTTTTTTTTTTTTTTTTTNTTCACACATGCTTACATATTTTCATTGGCATTCCATAGTTGTGAAGGCTTGTTTATTTAAAAAGTACTGATGTGTTATGTAAAGAAAAAATATAAAATATTAACTGTTGATAAGTTTTTTGTTATTATGAGAATCAAAATACAAATATGTATTTAAAATAAAATATAATAATAAGTATGAATTTCATTTATAATATTTTGAGTAATTATATATTGTAGGTGTATCCAGATGCCGCTCATTGCTTTTGCATCTATCATTTGTGGAAGACTATAATGAAGAACTACAAACAAAACATGGAGGCAGTGAAAGTGGCATTTTTTGCTGCAGCATATGCGTACACACCTTCCGAGTACAACCATCATTTGGAAACCATTAGAGATGCCAACAAGGATGTGTTAAAATACTTAACACAAACTATTGGCAAAGAAAAATGGTCTCGTCTACATTGTAAGACAAATCGTTTCATGGTCATGACATCAAACGCAGCAGAAACGATAAATTCCACCATGAAGGTTGCTCGTGAACTTCCTATTACCCTATTGTTGGAAAGTGTTAGGGGAATGCAGCAAGATTGGAATGTTAAGAACCGTACTGAAGCCCAAAATACATTCACAAAGCTCGCAAAATTTGGCCAGAAGATGCTTGAAGAAAATTACATAGCGTCTATGAAATATACAGTAAGTAAATATATAATGTAAAAATGATTAACTTTATTTATTATATAAATTGCTTAAGCTGCACTTAACAATTTGTGAACGCAGGTGCAAAAAGCAAGTGACGAAATATACAAAGTGAACAACGGTCCTCATAATTTCATTGTTGACCTTAGGAGAAGGACATGTACATGTAATAAGTTCCAAATGGATGAAATGCCTTGTACTCATGCTGTCTGTATTATTCGTGGAAAACAAGAAGAGCCAGAAAATTATTGTTCCCACTACTATTTCAGAGAGACTATGTTGGCTACTTATAATGCATCAATATATCCAGTTGAATTTGACTTGATAAGTTCATCAGATGGACCAACGAAAGAAATTGAGGTTGTTCCCCCTGAAGAGCGATCACGTACCGGAAGAAAAAAGAAGAAGAGATTCATTTCAGCGTTGGAAAGAGGTGGGAAAAAAAATCGTTTGCGAACCAGCAAACCATTGGGTGTTACTGAGTAATATAAATGTAGTTTAGATTGACATTGAATGTTGAATGAGTGTTAAAGCTTTCTTATAAATGTTTCTTACAGGTTATTAAAGTTTATAGTAATGTTGATTTTTTTTAAAGTAGTAATTTGAAAAAAAACAAAAAAAGAAATCTAGTCCATGGATTTACGTAAAGGTGTATCCATAATTTAGAGTTGATTTGTTATTTGCATGATCAAATAGGGTCATACTTTCTTTCGTTTCATGCATCTTAATGTTCTAGGTTATGGATGCGTAATTTCTGAAACCCCTTTTTGAGTGCTGATGTAGTTTCTTAAATGCATGTGAAATTGGCATGGTTGAAATGTTAATTCTTGTGATCTTGGTTCTAGTGTTGTGAGTTATCTTATGGTTGTAACTAATAAAAACTATCAAATATGGGGTTTGGTAATTGTTATATAGCACAAGCACTCGAGTTCCTAGGATTGGTTGGGGACAATTGGTGCAAGTTACCTTTGTGTAAAATTCATCAGCTACATTTGTGATTAGTTTAGGAATGATACAGTTGAAATGAGAAGTTAACTGTGAAGTGTTCTTGTAATTTTGCAATAATCCTTGGGTTCGACCTCTGTTTTTCTCCATAGTCACTTAAAAGCAGTGAAAATTGCTGGTTTTATACATTTTTTGATAGGTTAAATTGTACAATGAAAAAGTGCAAGAAGGAAATAGTGTGGTTAGTTACTTCATCCTTGACAGGCACCTTAAGTTTTCTTTGTAATGAATAGAGGTGACCTAGGAGCAAATTTATTAATAATGCATTAATTTGCTCCTCCATTTAGTTTTACCAATACATTGAAATCCCCAAAAGTTGTATTTACAAATAGATGGGGGTATAATCCATCGAAATTGGTCAGCGGCCTTGTGCTTGTGATAATTAACTCTACCATTGCCCAATTTTCTAATGTTCAGAATGTCATAAAAATATGAAGATGTTGCTCTTACATTTCATTTTTTCTATGCTGGCAGGGACAGTTATTCTATGCTGGCAGGGACAGTTACGGGGTCCTGCATGATGTGTATAGTGAGGTCAGGAACACGAAATTTCGAACATTACTGGAGATGAGTTAAAGGTTATGCTTTGCATATTTGTGAATTTGTGTTTTTGGTTAAGGCGTTGAGGATTTCGACTTGTCGATTGACAACGTCTGTGTAACCGCATTGGGACATGCCTATTCATTTCGAGATTGATTGGCAAAAGCATCGAGTCCAACTTTGGACTTGACCTTTTTTTAGGTTTATGGTAGTTTATATTCATAGATGGTTAGTGTTAGATTCGGTCTTTGTAGAGAAAATATTTTTTAGATGTTTGTTTTAATTATTTTGTGAAAAAATTATATATTTACTTGATGTTACGACATGAGCAGTTTGTTGGTTTTTGGTTAATAATCATTGTATCTTTCGTTTTGAATATTTCTTATGGTTATTTTTATTGATGTTTTTTGTTTCTTGTTTATTTGTAGTTCTTTTGTATTTTTTATTTTAGTTGAGTACTTTGTGAATGAATGTTTGATTTTTGTGTGTATAAGAGTATTAATTTTATAACAATAATAAACTAAAAGTAAACTATAGCAATATTTATATTCTGTATTATTATTATATAATAAACTGAAAGTAAATTATATATAAATTTATATTTTTGTGTGTGTATGAAAATTAATTTTATAACTATAATAAACTGAAAATAAACTATATATAATTTTTTCTGGTATAATAAATTGAAAATAAATTATATATGAATTTTGTTTTTGTAAGTGTAAGAGAATTAATTCTATAAATGGAAATAAACTATTCAAAAATCTTTTTGTATAATAAAATGGAAATAAATTATATATAAACTTTTTCTTGTACGATAAACTAAAAATATAAACTACATATAAATTTTTTCTCGTATGATAAACTAAAAATAAACTATATATAAAATATATATTCTTGTAATTATTTATAAACCTATAACAAACTTAAAATAAACTAGATATAAATTTACATTAAAAAAAATTGGTTTTCAACCCTAATTTTCCTCAAACACCAAAGAACACATTCCTTCCTCAAAATTGGTACAATCTTGATCAGAGACATCAAAGAGTTGAAGCTTCATAGATGTTCCTGATCAGCATGAGATAAGTGGATTACTTCTGTGTGTTGAGCCCCAAATCTGTTGGGATTTTGAATCCTTCGGTTTCCGGATTGAACCATGAATGATTTCGACTCGTGCAATACATGATTGCTTGTCGTTTCCGTTCACAATAATATTGGGTTGGCCATAACAGTCCTTATAACCAAGTCCAATAAAGAGTACAGATTTAGGGTTTAAAATCGACTCTGCCCTAGGCCTTGCGGCTATTCAGAAGTGTGTGTTCTTCTTCCTTCCCAACAGAACAGCGCAAAGAGGAATAATTGAGAAGCATGTCCCTCAATCTTTTGTCCAAGGCCAAAGCAAAATTCAAATCCTTCCTAAATTTGTACAGAACTCCTACAATCAAGGATGAGAGCAAGTTTTTGGTGGCGCAGCTTGGAGCATCAGGGAAAATCGGCGATGGATTGTTACAATACTCGATAATTTCGATCAAGGATAAAGATCCTAAATTCGAGAAAGATCTAATATATCCATTGGCCAAGGATCATCACCATCCCTCATCTATTTGCAAAGGTTTGTTGCTGCTTTTGGTACGGGGAAAAGATACAAAGCCTCCAGGGGAGACTTTGTGGAACCCGACCACAGGGGAAGTCAAAACCCTTCCTCCACCACCCTCATCCTTTGACTCCAGGTGACAATACTCACAATTTATTTATCTATTTATTTATTTTCTTTTAAGTTGGGTTGAAATGAAGGTGAAACCATTTGTTAGAGTAATTTTATGATGAAACATGGCTCTAGTCTTAGGAAAATGCCACGGGACCATTCCGTCAGGGGTTCGTAGCCGTTAGTTCAACTTGAATTAACGGTTACAAATGATTCTGTAATGGACCGTAGTATTTCCCCTAGTTAGTCTTAAAATAGATTCAAGTGGATCTTTTTCATATAACAAATGTTTTCCACACCTTGCACATACAGGTTTGTGAGAATGTTCCACGGTTATTTTGGTTTTGGGTTTGATTCGGCTTCTGAGGATTACAAGGTGATAAGATTGCTCAAGCTCAAGACTGAACAAGATTGCTCACCCACTGTAGCTGTGATGGCCGAACTTTATTCGCTCAGAACTAATTCGTGGAAACGAGTCAGTGTCATTCATCCTTTACGTATTCCACGACACTCTGGTGTTCACGTGAACGGCACTTATTACTGGTTAAGTCAATCTGATCCCTGGTTTATCGTGTCTTTCGACTTTGCTACTGAGAAGTTTGCTTCCTCTGTTATTCCTGCGCCCCCGAGCGACAAGCTCAATGAAAGAAATGGATATTATATTAAATTGGAGCTAGTGGAATATTGTGGGTTGCTCGGTGCTATGATTAAGTCATATGAGGACACAAGCAAGCTTTTGTGTATTTTGGAAATTTGGGTTTGGGATGGCTCATGGTTCCTGGTGTCCTCGCTCACCCTCCCTCTTTCTGTGGGTTTATATAGCCTCGTTGGGACTGAGAAATTGATTTATTTGGCCTTGAATGGTCAAATGATGCTTTTTGATTGTGCGACGAACAAGTTGGAGACGATACGCGGTGTGCATACTCCTATAGTGGCGCACATTTTTCCTTTTGTCGAGAGCTATGTTCCGCTCGATGGTTGAATAAGTATGTTCCGCTCAACTCAGTTTGCTCTATATATGTATCATGGTGGTTTGTTAGTCAGTATGCTTTCTTTTGTATTTCAGGATTTTTCTTTTCTTTTTACTGGCAATTATGTTTTCAACTTTGGGGACGGACCTATTCACTTATAATTCACTATTTATTTGCATATCCACCTAGTTTTTTGTTTGAAAATCGTATTTGTTTTTTGGTTTTTATATTTTAGATGACATGTTTTTTTGCAAGAGTTTTTGTAGTAAAAAACATGTCAAATGACTGCTTTGCTTTCATATTACTGCTCATATCAAGCATAAAATCTTACAAAAATCATCCACACACACACACAAGAAATTCGTACCAATATACAAAAACCAGTCTCAGTTTGTAATAATTAGGCTAAATTCAAAGGTAAGGAAGAAGCATGATCACTTCTTTTCCCTTTTTCACTTGAAGAATCCAGTCATCTCAAATCAAACTCCCCAACGGTACCATCACCTTTTTCACTTGAGTTCAGCCATCTCAAAGATACTAGAAAATCTCCATTCAAAGATACAACTACAGTCCTATAAACTGAATGGCTCCCGAGTAATATCTTGGCACAATCTCCCGATAAATTGTCCCACACTTGTACTTTCCCGTCAAGAGATATTTTACCTTCAAACAGCAAGCCAGTATGAGAGCCAGTATTTGGGGATTCTTATCTGTAAACTGTTGAGAAGCATCACTTGTAACAACGTACAAGGAAGGAAAATAAACAAATAAATCAAAGTGAGCCAGCACCTCATGATTGGTCACATATGCAACAAGGTGAAGAATGCGATCTCATATGATAATCGAAGCCCTCCAAAACTGACCCTTTTGTTTTTGTTTTTTGTTTTTTTTCCTTTGCTTTCAAAACGGTATTTGAAACAAAACAAATGCCTAAATTTTTAAACAGGAGTTAATTCGATACAAAAATGTAATACATTAAGCTAGAATAATGAAAATAACATTTTTTCAACAATCTCAAATAATGAATGATTTATTTGCATATCTACCCAGTCTTTTGTTTGGAAAAAAAATGACATAATTGACAACAAAAATATTCACTTGTATTAACTAATTTATTTGCATATCTACCCAGTCTTTTGTTTGGAGATCGTATTACTTTTATGGTTTTTATATTTTAGATGTCATATTTTTTGGCAAAAGTTTTTTATAGTAAACATGTTAATTAAATTCAATTTTAACCATTACAAATGTTGCTTTCATACTACTGCTCATATTGAACAAGAATCTTACAAACATTCAACTTTCGCTCATTCACTTCCTCGCTCGAAGCATAAAACCTTACAAAAGTCTATCCACACATGCAAAAGAAATTCGTACCAATATCAGCCTTGTTTGTATCTCTGCAAACGGAGCGGAGATGGAATCTCTACATATATCATCCCACATCGACAATGAGCGGGAATAAAACTTTTTGTCGTCCAAACTATAACGATTTTCGCACATTACCATATAAACTTTTTTTTTACAAAATACCATGAACTATACGAGTTTGTCAAATTACCCCTAAGCTGGATATAAAGTAGTTTTGACTAAAAAAAAAACTGATTTTTAAGAGCATTTCAGTAATTTTATATATTTTTTAAAAAAAGAAGGAAAATGAAAAAACTAAAGAAGCTAGTTTAAAAAAGAAAGAAAAAAAAAAAAGAAAAATGAAGTAGACCGTTGCTCTCCAAGTGCAGCCACCACTTGCCCCATGCAGTAGACCGCTGGCACAGAGCGTCGCCGCCATAGTGCGACAGTCGACACGTATTCGATAATATGCATTCATCCATCTCCGTTCACAATGAAACCGATGCGTGCGCGTTGCGACGAGAGTTGCACGCACGCACATCAAGGTGGTTTGTTAATCTTCTTCCTTTTTTTTCTTTTTATTTTCTATTTTTTTTTTTTTTTGTTAGTTTTGGAACATATTAATGGGAGTGTACAGGTGTATGTGTTCTTCAGCTCGTCTATATTTTTGTGGAAAATATTTTGGGAAATCAGAATGAATTTTCAGCCTTATTGTATATAAAATCAAGGAAAACGCTGATACTTGAGGTCATGGATTTTGGGTTGTAATGTGTAGGGCTTCAAACGAGCTGAGTCGAGTCGACCATTGGCCAAAATTTATTTTTTTTTTACCTGCTCGGGCTCGATTTATGGCGTTCAACATCGACTCGACAAAATAAGACAATCGCTCGAGCTCGGCTCAAGATCTATTGAAATCAAAATGCTCGAAAGATTGCTCAAGCTCGGACCAAGTTCCACTCAAATTTCAAGTAAAATTACCCTTAAGTACATATATAAAAATAATATTATATATAAAGGGCATTTTATTAATTTACTACATATCTTGAGCTGCTCGAGAGCGGCTCGACTTTTCAAAACCTATGCTCGAGATCGATTCATAACATGCTCGAGTCGCTCGAGTTCGGTCAAGCTCGAGCCGAGCTTTTACTCGAGCGCTCGTGAACCGCTCGATTCATTTGTAGTGATTGGAAATATAAGACTGGTAAAAGTGTAGACGTAACACAACATGTGATGTTTTCTTAGTTACTAGTACAGTACCTGTGCATGCACGAGAGCATTTATTACCGACTTGTATTGTAAATTGTATTTTTATATTTAAATTGTCTCATGACATTAAAAATATTATGAAAATGAAATTTACATACTATTGAACACTTCCTTATGTACAATATTTTTTGTTTGATTATTTAGCACGTAAAATATTACACGTGTGTTCGAATTTTATTTAAAATTGCATATTATTAGTTATTAGTTAACAAATTACATTTTTTTAAATTAAGAGATTTTAATTATTAAAAGAAAATATAGTAGAAAAAAAAATAGAAAAAAAAAAAAAATCTAATTCAAAATTTTGATTAAGAAAATTTTTAAAGAATAATTAATTTTTCCTAAAACTAAAATCGAATTGTTTCCTACCAATACACTGGTTTTCTTAACAAAAAAAATTAATTGGTTAAAACAGTGAAAAGAATCATCAATTATGCGGCTATGCCTATTCATAAGTGTTGGTTCTTCCTTCCTTCCCAGCAGCGCAAAGAGGAATAATTGAGAAGCATGTCGCTCAATCTTTTTGCCCACGCCAAATCAAAATTCAAATCCTTCCTAAATTTGTGCACAACTTCTACCATCAAGGATGTGAGCAAGTTTTTGGTGGTATCACCGGAAGTGGACAATGGATGTTTACATTACTCGATAATTTCGATCAAGGATGAACTTCCTCAACTCGAAAAACATCTCGAATATCCAATGGCCCAGGAGCAGGGTAAGCACTATCCCTCATCTATTTGCAATGGTTTGTTGCTGCTTTTGGTACCACCATCGTATGATCCAGTTACCTTCGAAATGAAAAGGCCTATCATCAAAATGACAAAGCCTCCAGGGGAGGCTTTGTGGAACCCGACCACAAAGGAATTCAAAATCCTTCCGCCACCACCCTCATCCTTTGACAAAAGGTACGGATACTTGTCAAATTATGCACGAAGTAGCAGTCTTATGTTTAGGATCAGGGCGGAGCCATCTTATGTTTAGGATCAAGTGTAAGGTTAAAACATGCCTGTATTTAATTGGATTGTGATTTTTCATGACAGTAATAAACAAAAAAAATTTGAGCTTGGGTTGGACTTGTAAACTCAGTTCAAGTCATTTAATAAACCTTAAAACAACCGAATTTTTCTAGTTCATGCTCGACATGACTTGTTTGATAGACAAGCTCGATTAGTTGTTCGAGTTTGACTCGTTTAAATATACAAGCAAGTCAAGCTTGAACTTTTACAAGTCGAGTTAGGATGAATCGACCAACTGTATTTTTCCAAACATAATTGGGTGATTAGAGTTTTAGTGTTCAATTTTTATCTTGGAAAAATTAAATTGGGTTGAAATGATAGTGAAACCATTTGTTAAAGTAATAATTTTTATGATGAAACAACATGGGTCTAGTCTTAAAATAGACTCAAGTGGATGGATACTTAACATTCAACATTTTCGTATAACAAATAATCCTATCAACGTTTTCACTCTCCCACAGGTGCGTGAAGATGTTCCAAGGTTATTTTGGTTTCGGGTTTGATTCGGCTTCTGAGGATTACAAGGTGATAAGATTGTTGAAGCTCGGTGATGGCAAAACTGAAGGTTACCCACTCACTCCAGCTGTGATGGCTGAAGTTTATTCGCTCACAAGTAATTCATGGAAACAAGTCAGTGTCGTTCATCCTTTACGTATTCCACGACACTCTGGTGTTCACGTAAACGGCACTTATTACTGGTTAAATCTCTCGGATCCTTGGTTTATCGTGTCTTTCGACTTTGCTACCGAGAAGTTTGCTTCCTCTGTTATTCCTGCGCCCCCGAGTGACAAGCTCACTCGAAGAAATGCATATTTTGATAATATCAAGCTCGTGGAATATTGTGGGTTGCTCGGTGCTATGGTTATCTCGGGTGGGAGCACGTGGCCAAGATCACTAGGTGCTATGGTTATCTCGGGTGAGGACATGTGGCCAAGTCCACTTGAAAATCCGCGTAGTTTGGAAATTTGGGTTTGGGATGGCTCATGGTCCCTGGTGTCCACGCTCACCGTCCCTAATTTTGCGGGTTTCTGGACCCTCGTTGGGACTGATAAATTAATTTTTTTGGACTGGACTGGTAAACCAATGTTTTATGATTGTGCGACGAGCAAGTTGAAGACGATACGCAGTCTGCCTACTTCTTTTAACGCGCACATTTTTCCTTTCGTCGAGAGCAATGTTCCGCTCGACGGTTGATTAAGTATGTTCCGCTCAACTCAGTTTGCTCTATATATGTATCCTGGTGGTTTTGTTTGTGTGCTTTCTTTTGTATTTCAGGAATTGTTCTCGACTCAACGGTTGATTAAGTATGTTCCGCTCAACTCAATTTGCTCTATATATGTATCCTGGTGGTTTTGTTTGTGTGCTTTCTTTTGTATTTCAGGAATTTCTTGTCTTTTACTGTAGCCAATCATGTTTTCAACTTGGGGGGACCTATTCACATATAATTCACTATTTATTTGCATATCAACCAAGTTTTTGTTTGGAGATCGTATTAGTTTGGTTTTTATATTAGATGTCACATTTTTTGCAAAAGTTTTTATAGTAAACATGTAAAATGACTGCTTTCATATAACTGCTCTGTCATTAATCAGGAATCTTACAAACATTCCACTTTCGCTCATTTACGTCTTCGCTCGACTCATAAAATCTTACAAAAATCATCTACACACACACAAGAAATTCGTACCGATATAAAAAAAACCAGTCTCAGTTTGTAATAATTAGGCTAAATTCACCTTTTTCAAAACACCCCAACGGTACCATCACCTTTTTCACTTGAATTCAGCCATCTCAAACGCTCAAGCGTACCATCTTTAGAAACAGATACTAGAAAATCTCGATTCAAAGGTACAACTACAGTCTTATAAACTGAATGGCTCCCGAGTAATATCTTGGCACAATCTCTCGATAGACTGTCTCACACTTGTACTTTCCTGTAAAGAGATATTACCTAAAAATTTAAATCGGTAGTATATATCACAAATAGTGGGTTGAGATGTTTTGTAAAGATGATTTGTATTTATCGAGATTATTGTTTAAAGCATGTGTTATATTTACGTTTAACAATTGTCACTACAAGAAAATGGTGAAATTCCAACTGAAATATATTTCAATAAAATTCCAACGACAATTCCAATGGATATTTTAATGCTATTATTTCCGTTGGAATAATTCCAACGGAAATTCCAACAAAAATATTCTGTTGGAATGACTTCTCCATTGAAATTTTCGTTGGATTTTGACGATTCCAACGGTAGATTTTTTAATGGGGGTGGAAATAAAAATTCCAACGGAAATTGCATATTCCAACGGTCATCAAATTTCATCTAAAATTCCAATGAAAAACACATTCCAACGGAAGCTATACCATTGGAATATCCATTAGAATATATTACTATAGGATTTCCGTTGGAATATCACAATTTTTTTGTAGTGTGTGACTATAAAAAAATCTGGTAAGATATAATAATTTTGGTAGAAAATCAATCAGTAGTTTAAATAAATAAAAGATATGATTTGTTTTGAATGAAACAACATTGGTAACCGATAGTTTTAAAATATTTTGTTAAGTTAACAAAGATGTTCTCGGTAATATATATCACAAATAGTAGGTTGAGATGATTTGCAAAGATTGATGTGTATATATCGAGATTAATGTTAAAAGAATGTACTATATCCGTTTAACAATTGTTGTATGGTAAACATTATTTTGAGAATTAAATTAGATTTGACTTTTGAGTGAATTAGATGTTGATCAATCGTAAATTCTAGTTCATTTTTGGTAAATACAGTTAAAATATCTTTTCGAATCCAAAAGATTGATTTGTAAATTTTCAAAATAAGAACTTTTAAATTTGCTAATTCAAAATAGCATATCGAACACTTTACCTAACTAACGAACTATTCAATCAACTAGTTAAAATTGCTAATTCAATCAGTTATCTACTATTAAAATGCTAAAATCTCCCATAGGGTGAAATCGAAAATGTATTCTCAGCTTACATAGGTGCTCTGACATGCACAAGAATAACGAAAGAAAAAAACTAAAAACAAAATGTGTTTTTCCAACATCTCTATGCAAAATTCTATACAAAAACTTATAGACAAGAGAATTATAAACAACCCAACAAAATCGACAAAAACACCCGCAATAACATAGATAGAAGCAACAAACCTTAGTATTTGATTCTTACAAAGAAGCAAAGAAAATTGTTAAAAAAAACGAGCAGGCGGCTAAGTACTCACGAAGATTAATACTCCGACTCTCAAGGCATAAAAACCCATCTTTCTTTTCTTGAAGAAGACAATGGGAAATCAACTCAAACACACAATACTTTATCCATAAAATTTCAATTATCTAAAATCATTTTGCATTTTTTTAGTATTTGACATATCCTAACATAAATCTAAATCTAGCATCACATAAACGTTAAGCATTAAGTGGATTCTGATGATTCACAAGTGAAAGTAAATTTAAACTCTTTGATGATTTGGAAACAATATTCAGTCGTCTAGCTGATGCACTAATTATGTTCTTGTTTTTTTATTTAATGTTACCTATTGTGAGTGTTGGTACTTATGTTTCTTTGCTCTTTGTTATGTTGTTTCTTCTACCCGTGTTGGCTTGGAGGGGGTGGAATTATGCTCTCCCCGCGGGTAGGGCTGCTATCAAACCGAACCTAACCAAGTTTGAGGTTTTCGAGTTCGAGTTTGACTATTTTTCGAACATTGTTCATGTTCGTTCATGTTTGTTCGTGTTTGTTCATTTATTGGTTCGACAAATTCGTATTCGTTTGTTTATTTAGTCGAACTTGTTCGATACGTTCGTATTTGTGTTTGTTGACTTTTTTATTTTATTTTAATAGCATACATGTTATAATATTTAATATATACCTATATTTATATATTATATTATATATACAATATACAAAATTATAAAATACTTTTTGGTCGCGAACACTCATTTAGTTTGCGAACTTGTCCGTGTTTGTTCGATAACTAAACAAACATAATTCATGTTCGAGTTCAGTTCAATTACGGAACGAACGAACTGTTATCAAACACGAACGAGCTTTGTTCGCGAAAAGCTCGGTTCGACAACAAGCCTATCCGCAGGGTTGCTTTTTCCATTTTTCATTCCTAAGAGCTAATGCCTTTGTAACTTGTTGGTTGCCCGGTTGTACACACATTCTAAGTTTAATGTTATTTATGGTGTTATTTGGGGTAAAAAATTGACATAATTGACAACAAAAATAAATCACAAATTAGCGATTTATAAACACTATGTATTGGGTTGGGCATAACAGTCCGTAAAACCAAATCCAATAGATTACAGATTTAAAATCCAAGAGGAATGGTTGGGTTTAGGGTCTTCTTCCTTCACAGCAGCGCAAGAGTAATAATAACAATTGAGAAGCATGTCCCTCAATCTTTTGGCCCACGCCAAATCAAAATTCAAATCCTTCCTGAATTTGTACAAAACTCCTATCATCAAGGATGAGACCAAGTTTTTGGTGGCGCAGCGTGGAGTATCAAGGAAGGTGGACGAGGAGGAACAGTTACATTGCTCGATAATTTCAACCAACAATAAATTTTCTAAACTCGAAAAACATTTGAAATATCCAATCCCCCAGGGCAAGGATTATCACGATCCTTTATCTATTTGCAATGGTTTGTTGCTGCTTTCGTTACCAGGATCATATGATTACGATAAAAGGGAAATGATAAAGCCTCCAGGGGAGGCTTTGTGGAACCCGACTACAGGGGAATACAGAGTCCTTCCTCTTCCTCTCTCAAACTTCGACCCCAGCCCCTGGTACTAATACTTGTGAAACTCATATATATATATTTTATTTTATTTTCCTTTTATGTTGGGTTGAAATGACAGTGAAAGTGAAACCATTTGTTAAAGTAGTAATGTTTATGATGAAACCAATTGGGTCTAGTGTTAAAATAGACTCAAGTGTATTCTTTTTTCATACAGGTGTATGAATATGTTCCACGGTTATTTTGGTTTTGGGTTTGATTCGGCTTCTGAGGATTACAAGGTGATAAGATTGTTCAACCAGAGTGATGGCAAAACTGAAGAAGTGGTGGCCGCACTTTATTCGCTCAGAACTAATACATGGAAACAAGTCAGTCTCGTTCATTCTTTACGTTTTCCAATACAATTTGGTGTTTATGGTGTTCACTTAAACGGCACTTATTACTGGTTAAATCTCTCGGATTCCGAGTGTATCATGTCTTTCGACTTTGCTACTGAGAAGTTTGCTTCCTCTCTTATTCCTGCGCCCCCCAGGGACAAGCCCATATATATGACTTCATATCGTTATGATAATGTGAAGCTCGTGGAATATTGTGGGTTGCTCGGTGCTGTGGTTAAGTGGAATGAGCACACCATGAAGACTTTAAGTATTTTGGAAATTTGGGTTTGGGATGGCTCATGGTCCCTGGAGTCCAACCTCACCATCCCTACTGATGTGGATTTACAGAGCGTTGTTGGGACTGATGAAGAAATAATTTTTTTGGACTCGTTTGGTAAAATGAGGTTTTTTGATTGTGAGACGAGCAAGTTGAAGAAGATACACAGTTTGCCTACTTCTAAGGCGGCCCACATTTTTCCTTTGGTCGAGAGCTATGTTCCGCTCTGACGGATTTCGGTTATTTGAATAGTACTCGGAACAAGGAATCCTGGTGGTTTTAGTTAGTGTGCTCTCAGTATTTCAGGATTTTATTTTCTTTTACTGCAGCCAATCATGTTTTTGACTTGGGGACCTATTCACTAATAATTTACCATTCATTTGCATATCTACCAAGTTTTTGTTTGGAGATCGTTTACTTTTCTGGTTTTATATTAGAATTTAGATGTCTCATTTTTTGCACAAGTTTTTATAGTAAACATGTAAATGGATCCTGATGATTCACAAGTGAAAGTATATTTAAACTCTTTGATGATTTGGAAACAATATTCAGTCGTGTAGCTGATCTAATTATGTTCTTGTTTTTTATTTAACGTTACCTATTGTGAGTGTTGGTTCTATTATGTTTCTTTGCTCTTTGTTATGTTGTTTCTTCTAGCCGTGTTGGCTTGGAGGGGGTGAAATTATGCTCTCTCGTATAGGGCTGCTATTGAACCGAACCTAACCAAGTTTAAGGTTTTCGAGCTCGAGTTTGACTATTTTTCAAACATTGTTCATGTTCATTCATTTAATATCTAACAAAAAATATTTGTTAGTGTTTGTTTCTTTATTAGTTCGACAAGGTCGTATTCGTTAGTTTATTTAGTCGAACTTGTTTGACAAGTTCGCATGTGTGTTTGTTAACTTTTTTTTTTTTATTTCAATAGCATACAAGNATAAAAAAGAAAAAAAAAAAGAAAAAAGAAATAACACAATTGACAACAAAAATAAATCACAAATTAGCAATTTATAAACCCTAAAAAATTTATTGCTTGTCATTCCCTCTCACTATGCATTGGGTTGGGCATAATAAATGTTGGGTTTAGGGTTTAAAATCGGCTCTGCGGCTGCGCCTATGCTATGCCTATTCAGGAGTATTTGTTGGCTCTTCCTTTTTCCCCGCGAAGCGCACAGAGAATTGAATAATTGAGAAGCATGTCCCTCAATCTTTTGGCCAACGCCAAATCCAAATTCAAATCCTTCCTAAAGTTGTGCAGAATTCCTCTCAAGGATGAGACCAAGTTTTTGGTGGCGCAGCGTGGAGTATCAAGGAAGGTGGACGAGGAGGAACAGTTACATTGCTCGATAATTTCAACCAACAATAAATTTCCTAAACTCGAAAAACATTTGAAATATCCAATCCCCCAGGTCAAGGATTATCACTATCCCTCATCTATTTGCAATGGTTTGTTGCTGCTTTCGTTACCAGGATCATATGATTACTATAAAAGGGAAATGACAAAGCCTCCAGGGGTGGCTTTGTGGAACCCGACTACAGGGGAATACAAAATCCTTCCTCTTCCTCTTTCAAACATCGACCCCAGCCCCTGGTACTAATACTTGTATAACTCATATATACATATTTTTTTTTATTTTCCTTTTATGTTGGGTTGAAATGATAGTGAAAGTGAAACCGTTTGTTAAAAGTAGTCATGTTTATGATGAAACAAATTGGGTCTAGTGTTAAAATAGACTCAAGTGTATTTTTTTCATACAGGTGTAGGACTATGTTCGGCGGTTATTTTGGTTTCGGGTTTGATTCGGCTTCTGAGGATTACAAGGTGATAAGATTGTTCAACCAGAGTGATGACAGAACTGCAGCAGTGTTGGCCGAAGTTTATTCGCTCAGAAGTAATTCATGGAAACAAGTCAGTGTCGTTCATCCTTTATGTTTTCCTCATGGCTCTGGTGTTTATGGTGTTCACGTAAACGGCACTTATTACTGGTTAAATCTCTCGGATCCCGGGTTTATCGTGTCTTTCGACTTTGCTACTGAGAAGTTTGCTTCCTCTCTTATTCCTACGCCCCCGAGTAACAATCTCATTAGAGAAGATGCATATGAATATTATTATGCTAATTTGAAGCTCGTGGAATATTGTGGGTTGCTCGGTGCTGTGGTTATGTGGAATGAGGGCAACGGAAAGATTTCATGTTGTTTGGAAATTTGGGTTTGGGATGGCTCATGGTCCTTGGAGTCCACGCTCACCGTCCCTTCTTATGTGGGTTTACAGAGCCTCGTTGGGACTGATGAAGAATTAATTTTTCTGGACTCGTTTGGTAAAACGAGGTTTTTTGATTGTGAGACGAGCAAGTTGAAGAAGATACACAGTTTGCCTACTTCTGAGGAGGCCCACATTTTTCCTTTGGTCGAGAGCTATGTTCCGCTCTGACGGATTTCGGGTATTTGAATAGTACTCGGAACAAGGAATCCTGGTGGTTTTTAGTTAGTCTGCTCTCAGTATTTCAGGATTTTCTTTTCTTTTACTGCAGCCAATCATGTATTCAACTTGGGGACCTATTCACTTATAATTCACTGTTTATTTATTTGCATATCAACCAAGTTTTTGTTTGAGGATCGTATTAGTTTTTCTGGTTTTTACATTTAGATGTCATATTTTTGCAAAAGTTTGTATAGTAAACGTGTAAATTGACTGCTTTCATATTACTGCTCATATTAAACAAGAATCTTACAGACATTCCACTTTCGCTCATTTAACTTACAAAAATCATCCACACACACTAAGGGGGCGATTGGATATAAATTGAATAGTAAAAAAACCAATTAAAACTCAAATTTAACTCAACTCCACTATCTTCAATATTACCAATATAATTAAATAATATCAACCAATCATTCTTACACGTCAAATCAACTTTAATTCACTATTCATCCACTCACATAATTTTAACTAACCATCACTTCCAATCATTTTTCTCCTACTTTACATCAAATCAACTTTAATTATTTTATTTAAATATTATTTTAATATATCCACTAACAACTAACCATACCTCTTTTTTCCAAAATTAACTATAGTTAAAAACAAACCAAATAAAAACTAGTTGAATCCATAAACAATCACTCCTTAAAGAAATTCGTACCAATATAGGAAAACCAGTATCAGTTGGTAATTGGTCAACTTCAAAGGTAAGGAAGAAGCATGATCAGTTTTTTTTCCGTTTTCACTTTGAATCCAGCCATCTCAAATCAAACACCCCAACGGTTCCGGTTCTGGGTCGAAACCGTAAGTTCCTGGCCGAATTTTTTTGGGGTCCTGAAATTGGAAGTTTGTAATTAATGAATATTGAAATCAAACACCCCTATTTGGAAGTTTGTAATTAATGATATTGAAATCAAATTTCAAACACTATCTAAAAAAATGAAATAATATTTTTTTATGAGAAAACTAATGTTTAATCAATTTAAACTAACCCCTATGAAGAAACAAATAAAATGTATACTTATCTATATTTAAAATTTAAAATTTTAAATTATTTTTTAAATTTCTAAATTTAGTAAATTTGAAATATTTATGTGGGATTTTACCTACTATTTCAGGTAAATCATTTGCCTTACTATATGGTCATAGATAAATACTAGAGTTTCATTTGATTTTTCTGCAATTTTTATAAAATAAAATTCCATTATTAATTGCATTTTATTTTAGTTTTATTATATAACTTAATATTGAAGAAGTAATTTTTTTTTTTAAAAAAAAGATTACCTTTTCCTTTATGAAATGAAAAATTTCGGGTTATTATAATAAAACTAATTAAATAATAATTAAAATAAGTTATTTCATATATTTTTGTAAATATTTAATTGATAAATGTATATCATTGAACAAACAATATTAAAATGACATTGGATAATTCAATGTTGGCCAAAACTCAGTTCCGGGCCGGTTCCGGGTCGCTTGCTAGAAGACCCTGAACTGGCCCGAACCGCCGATTCTGGCCTCGTTCCAGGCTGGTTCTGGCATTTTTGAGCCTATGTTTTCGATTTTTTTATGGACGAAGACTTGCCAGGTCTGGGTCAACCCGGCGGGTTGGGCAGATGTTGACTTTTTCAATACCACACAAGTTATATTATTTAATATTTAATATATATTCAATATATATATAATATATAAAACTGTAAAATACTTTTTGTTCGCAAACGCTCGTTTAGTTTGCGAATTAGTTCGTAATCATTTAATAACTAAACGAACATAATTCATGTTTGAGTTCAGTTCAATTACCCAATGAATGAGCTGTTATCCAACACGAATGAACATAAACGAGCTTTGTTCGCGAAGAGCTCGGTTCGATAATAACCCTACTTGTAGGGTTATTTTTTTTTTTTTCGTTTTTCGTTCGT